GACACCTTTTCCGAATTCCATAGCATGCATGCAATTTGTGTGTCGGACAGCGGAATCGGTACATTCCCAGGCGTTTGGCAGGCAACTTTTGTGAGTCTTGCCACTCCTAGCACCACACCCCAACTCGTCAAAAGGTCGAGCGAAGTTGATCCTTTCACCAATTGTCTACTGAAAGTTGCGCCAACTCTACTTCTGCCCCGAGGCGATCACCTTTCCTACACCTTCGTATCACACCCTTCACTGTCGCAATTTGTAAAATGTCCATTTTAACCAAGTTAATGGGTGTGATTCATTCACACTGCCCCCACCTTACTGGGAGTGTTGATCCAAATCGGCCACTTTACTTTCGGTTTTAGCAGACCCTCCCTCTTGCCCCGTAGGATCCGTCTCTCAACCGCCTCGTTCAGTGAGTTCCCAGATCCGTGCTACTCGAGACGTCATGTTCTACACATGAGCTGTGTTCGCCACATTTCGTTCAAGCTGATGCAGCACTGATAGTTGACTTTTTCCAAAACCTTGCGTCTCCATTAACTTTCACACAGCCTTTTCCCACCCAAAACTATTCCCATCCCGGTCGGAGTGGACTGCCGTTTCCACCTCGTCTCAACCGGACTCAACAGCACTCCCAGCGGGACTCGAACCACGGCAGCGGAGCGTCCAGTCTCGACTACGCCACGTTGCCACGAGTGCTTTGGTGTGACAGGGAAGACGGGAATTTTGCATTTTCCCACATCTCACCTCTTCTGACCCGAGCACACTCGTGCAAATGTGGCCCAGTTGTTGGCATATCGAAATCACCCACCCCCGACCGAGACGAGATTTCCCATCGGGAAGAAGAGTATGCTCATATGCTTGTGGGAAAATGCAACCACCAGTCTCGAGAGCCTACTTGCAAACGAACAATAAGTTATGTTTCACACCCTGCCTCAAGCCTTCGATAGCACACATCCTCCAGCCTGGATCGTCAAGATGCATCGAAGCCTAACTTGACGCACAAGATTTCCCTATCGCCGTTCGACATGTGCAGCTGATCGAGCCGCTGCTTCACAGACCACGCCGGTTGACGCAAACTGTGTATCGCGAGCCAACCTTCCCAGACTCGGGAGTATGACTTTCCCATACCCCAGTCTGTTGTGTGCCAGCCTGCACATGTTGTAGCTTTGTTAGGGGGACCTTCATTTCGAATGAAAGTACATGAAGAAGATATTCGTTTTTCGATCTCACCGTCCTCATCTGGTGAGATCGAAAAACGAATATCTTCTTCATGTACCTTCATTCGAAATGAAGGTCCCCCTAACAATGTTATCTCAGGAGATTCATCGAAACCAAGTTTCTCTTCGTATCTACATGTTGTAGCTGTTTGACCTGTTTCGATTCGACTCTCTGTAGTTGTATCCTCTTGCTTTCCGATTGCTCCTCTGTGGCCTCCTACTTGCCAGCTATCTTCCTCAAGTTGAACATATTTCCCTGATCCAGATCAGGCTGTTGCCTGATCACCTTCGCATTTGCTTAAGCGATATCGCGTTTATTCGAGTCTCTTCTTGATTATATTTCTTTCGAATCTTGCATTCTCTTGCTTTTGCACCAGCCTGTGTGTCCATGCCCAGTCCATTTCCTCTCCCTTCTCTGCAATGTGCTCCACTAGTTCGCATCTTCTGTATCCTTGTTTCTGCAGAGTGCTTGATATTCCTTGATCCGTAGGCTGAGGTTTCTGCTTGTTTCGTCAAAATACTTCCGCTCTTAGTTGCTCCATTTTAGGCGATAATCGCCCGAGCAACCCAGTTTATCAACTTTATCGTACTGCGTCGGTAGGTTAGCCATCAGCCGACCTGATGGCCGCAGTATTGGGCTCAGTTTGTATCCACTTTTGGTCGTCCTCCCGATTCCCGATTTTCTTTTCATAATCTCCAAGTCGCAATCTACTCTTACGGCCCCCATATTGCTTGCTATCACTTCTCTGGACCACATTCTACCAAGACAATTCCGAGTAGATTTGTTCAACTCTTCGTCCCTCAACTCCATGTCCGTTAGTTTTGAGCTTCTCATGCTTAAACTCTTCATTATTCTCATTTTCAACCAGCAGTTGTGATGAAAGTGAAAAAGGAAGATAATTTCCGCACACGATTTCTGTCTGAATAGTCTCCTCTCGAGTATCCCGTTAAAGCGGCATCTCGTGTCATGGCAATCATGCTTGTTTCCAGCATTGGACCGTCGACTTGGCGCATTCGCAGACGTTTTGCCGGCATCATAGCTGGCCTCGTGGATGACATGCGCTATCCTCAACATCGAGCAAAAGCTCTTCAAAGAGCCGTCCAAACATGTCGTAATGTTCCGAGTCATTCTTCCCATCCTAACAGAGAACACAGGCTGGGCATCTTCTAGGGGCTCAACCAAACTCCATATTTGACCTATTTCTTTGTGCTGCAACTGCTCTAGGCTGGCTACTAGTTTATGTCTTCAACACTTCTTCATATTTCCCGGTTAATCCAACTGAAAGCCGACAATTTGACCTCATAAATTTTTTGACTCATCTCC